GCTCAGGGCCCTGACCCCCGAGCCCCCGTACACAGTGTTCCATAAGGATAAGGTCCATCTCCGACCACATCCTTCGTTCCTCCCCAAGATGGTCTCCACCTACCACATGAGTCAGGATATCTTCCTGCCGTTGCTCTGTCCCAAGCCCCATGAGTCCAGTGAGGAATGCCGTCTCCACATGCTGGATGTGAGACAGGCTCTGGCCTTTTACCTGGAGCGGACTAAGCCATTCAGGAAGTCCTCACAGCTGTTCATCACCTCGGCCAAACGCATGAGAGGTCTGCCTATCTCTACTCAGCGGCTCTCCAACTGGATCACCTTGTGTATTCGTCACTGTTACGATCTAGCAGGAGTCCCCTCGCCGCTGATTGTGAGGGCACACTCAACTAGGGCGCAAGCCTCTTCGGCTGCCTTTCTAGCCCATGTTCCCATTCAGGACATTTACAGCGCTGCTATCCAGTCTTCGGTTCACATGTTCACCTCGCATTATGCGATAGTCTCCCAAACCAGGGAGGACGCCGAGTTCAGCAGGGCCGTGCTCCATCCTGAGAGTCTGTGAACTCCTACCCATCTCCAACAGATATAGTGTGGAATTACCTATTGTGGAATGCACATGAGCAATCGCTCGAAGAGGAAAAGACAGTTACCTTTTCCATAACTGGTGTTCTTCGAGATGTGTTGCTCGTGTCCATTCCACATCCCACCCTCCTTCCCCTCTGTCGGAGATGTCTGGCAAGAAAGAACTGAGGGTGATGGGAGCACAGCCCCCCTTATACTGCTCCGGGGGGGACATTTCCCCCCGACGGGTACTGTTAGGGGAAAAACTTCCAGCACCGGTGCACGTGGCAAGCACGCACACCTATTGTGGAATAGACATGAGCAACACATCTCGAAGAACACCAGTTACAGAAAAGGTAACTGTCTTTTACAGCAAGCTTTTCAGACAGCTCTTTTAAAACTATTGGATGCAAGTTATTTGGACCTGCTGATTTAAGTGTCTAACTTTAGCAGCTTTTGTTTAACATCCTCCAGGTATACTAGTAGAATGGAAAGAGTATTATCACCATATGATAAGACTATATATCTGATTTTTCCCCAAATACAGAACAGAAATATTTGTTGAACACTTCTGTCATTTTTGGATTATTATTGATAATTCTGCAGTTTCCATCTAGTAATGGACCAATAGCATTGTCAGGATTCTTTTTGGTCGTAATAAATGTTAAAAACTTCTTCTTACTATTCTTAACTTAGCTGACCATAGAGTTCTCCTTGTATCCTTGGGCTTCCCTAATCAGTTTTCTACAATCCTTAATTTCTGCTGTATATTCATAGAATCATAGAATATCAGGGTTGGAAGGGACCTCAGGAGGTCATTTAGTCCAACCCCCTGCTCAAAAGCAGGACCAATCCCCAATTAAATCATCCCAGCCAGGGCTTTGTCAAGCCTGACCTTAAAAACTTCTAAGGAAGGAGATTCCACCACCTCCCTAGGCAACGCATTCCAGTGTTTCACCACCCTCCTAGTGAAGAAGTTTTTCCTAATATCCAACCTAAACCTCCCCCACTGCAACTTGAGACCATTACTCCTTGTCCTGTCCTCTTCCACCACTGAGAATAGTCTAGAACCATCCTCTTTGGAACCACCTCTCAGGTAGTTGAAAGCAGCTATCAAATCCCCCCTCATTCTTCTCTTCTGCAGACTAAACAATCCCAGTTCCCTCAGCATCTCCTCATAACTCATGTGTTCCAGACCCCTAATCATTTTTGTTGCCCTTCGCTGGACTCTTTCCAATTTATCCACATCCTTCCTGTAGTGTGGGGCCTAAAACTGGACACAGTACTCCAGATGAGGCCTCACCAATGTTGAATAGAGGGGGACGATCACGTCCCTCGATCTGCTCGCTATGCCCCTACTTATACATCCCAAAATGCCATTGGCCTTCTTGGCAACAAGGGCACACTGCTGACTCATATCCAGCTTCTCGTCCACTGTCACCCCTAGGTCCTTTTCCGCAGAACTGCTGCCTAGCCATTCGGTCCCTAGTCTGTAGCTGTGCATTGGGTTCTTCCGTCCTAAGTGCAGGACCCTGCACTTATCCTTACTGAACCTCATCAGATTTCTTTTGGCCCAAACCTCCAATTTGTCTAGGTCCCTCTGTATCCTATCCCTGCCCTCCAGCGTATCTACCACTCCTCCCAGTTTAGTATCATCCGCAAATTTGCTGAGAGTGCAATCCACACCATCCTCCAGATCATTTATGAAGATAAATGAGATTAAGATCATTAAGATCAACTTCCCTGTTCTTCCATTTGTTGTTGTTGTTGTTTTATATTTTTACAGCTGCCATCACTTCCCTTTTAAACCAGGTGGAGATTTTTAACAATATGGCCTCCTTCCTCAATTATGGGATTGTGGTTTTTTGTGTGTCTAGTAAGGTGTTCTTGAATTATTCCCAATTATTAGTCACATTTTTATGATTGACCTCTTCCTCCCAGTTGATATGGCTAATAATTGTTTTCAGCTTTGTGATACTGGCCCTTTTAAAGCACTGTGTGTGTGTGTGTATATGTATATATATAAAAAATTTGTCTGAATTTTATTCTGTTTGCACATTACAAATGTGATCAATCATGGTCACTTGTACCAGATATACCATCAACTTTTAGGTCTGTGATCAGTTCCTCTTTATCTGTTAGAACACGGTCTAATATAGAATTTCCCCGTGTTGGATGCAACACTTTTTGAGTTAGGAAATTGTAATCTATAATTGTTAGAAATCTCAAGGATGTTTTAGTACTCGCAGCATAAGACCTCCAGCATGCGTCACTCAAAATGAAGTTTCCACCACAGCTTTTTTTCCTACACATTATAGAAAGGTGCGTAAAGAGGTGGTCATCCTGTTCCCTAGTGTGTTTTGTGATCTGTAGCAGACACCAACTAGTCCCCTATCTTGAGCTTTATCTGTTAGGACATTGATCCATAAGCATTCAGGATCATTTTTGTATGAGCTATCCAAGACTCAGAAACAGGTAATGCTATTTTTGACACAGAGTGCTACTCCCCCACCCATTTGCTCACTTGATCCTTCCTAAATAGATTAGAAACATTGATTTTAACATTGCAGTCATGCAAATCATTCCACCAGGTTTCAGTAATGCCAGCTAGATTGAATTTATGCTCATAAATGGGTAATTCCATTTCCTCCTTTTTATTACCCATGCTCCTAGCATTGGTGTATTGTCAATTCAAGAATTTCTCTTCTCTTCATATCCTTTGGTTCCTTGGTTAATTTTGTTCTCACCATCTCATTTTCGTGCTGAGTGCTCGTATCGTCCCTCTTTTAACCCTCTCTGTTTGCTGTTAGTTCAACCCTTTTCTGACTATTCTAACCAGCCTGTCCCCAAGGAGATTCATCCCACTTCTGCTGAAGTGGAAGCCATTCAAACTATACAGCCTTCTTTCTCTCTAGGGAGCTGACCCCTGCCAAGCACAGACAAGGCTTTCTCCTGCTAAGGACAAGTGGTATTGAGGTGCCTCACAGCCCTGGGAAGCATCACAGCCCCACAAGTGATTCCATGGTTTCCAAACGAAATGTGGATTGTGACACAGATCCAGTGTGGATACAGCTTTTAGACAGGAATGTGTGCACCAGACCACAAGGGCACACTTTCCTTTGCCCTCAAGGCCAAAGGGAAAAAGCACAGGTCTGTTCCAGCACCAGAAATCTCTCCTCCTATAATGCGGAGAGAATGCAGACATGAACCTGTCAGAACAGGTATTGCTGTGCTAACATCCCCAGAAACTGGGTTCTGGTTCCCTCTTACAGGTTCTCAGAAACTTGACAGATCATCCCTTAGATCCCTGTTATGGGTTAGGCCCATCACCACGTCAGTTCCTTACTTGAATCTCGCACTGGACCAATGATGGGTGCTCTAGGTGTACCTCAGATAGATAATTTCTATGACTCTGACTATAGAGAATTCTCTTTGGCACAAGCATGCTGGTATGTTAAGAGGTTTGGGACCCTCAGTGTCCCAGCAGCAGCCATATAAAAGGTTCCAGATCCAGAGGCTCTGAGGGTTGTTTGTTACTTATATAATAATCCCTACCACTTATTTGTTGTTGTTCACGTGCAAAGTGCTGTACAATTATCAGTCCTCTCAATATCTCTGTGACGTGGACTAGTGAGAATTATCCGCATTTAGCAGATGGAGACACTGGGGCAGAAGGTGTGCCTTGACTAAGGCTACAGATGATGTCCATGCCAGACTGGGATGAGATCTCAGGAATTCCTGATTCATGGGTCCCTGTTCAGTAGCACTGTAAATACTTAGCAATGCTGATCTCAAGCAACCACTCAAGGTATCAACAAAAAAAATGGGAAGAGCTATGTTTGGGGATAGTGCTTTAAGAAGCTCTCTTAGGATAGCAAGCTGCTGAATAAGGATGTTCTCTGTTGCTGATTTCATACTTTAAGCTGAAGTTGAGTATTTAGTGCGGTCGACAAAGCCACTGTCTCCGAGACCTTACAATCTATAGATCCAAGTGGGAACAATACAGTGTACAGGTGTGGAGTTCTTGCATGGATCATGTGAAGGAAAGGGAGGCAGAGTGCTAGTTTCTTTGTTCTCTAAACTGAAGAGCCATAGGGGCAAGGATGGCTTTGCTGATGCTCTTGCACATTCCCATCCATATACTGGTGTCTTTTGAGCCATTGCTGCTGCAGATCTCTAAGGAGGCTGTTGGGCAAACAGGGAAGGTCAAGAGTCCCATGTGTAAGCCAACTGAACTTTCACTAATTGTTCTGCTCTTCAGCTGCCCTTTGTGCTGTGGCCATTTACTCTCACCCCTTTGGCACTGGCAAGCAATGTTCCAGATATAGGATCAATGGAAGGTTTTGTGACTTGTACACCAGACAGGTGTGTGGTTAAAAAGGGAATGGGATTCAACAAAGAGATCTCAGCAATAGGTACTTTCATCACTCTTTTCTTGGCAGACTTCTCCAGAGACCCCCAGCTCCAGTGAAACTTTGGGAGGGGACCCGTCCAGCCTAGAATCCGAAACAGATCACCTCCGGGTCCAACTGGGTGACAGCCTGAAAGAACTGCACCAAAAGGAGCTGAGAATTCAACAGTTAAACAGTAAGGTACAGCAAGTTGCCTCTTCCTGCTCATGGAACTTGGGACAAGGAAGAGAACAGACCTCCTCTAGGACTTGGAGGAAGGAGCAGACCTCTCCCTGCTTAAGGCGCTTGTGCTGGGAATGTAGAGTTTGGGGAGAACAAACTTCTGTCCCAGAGCCTACAGACCCCCACCGGAGAAGTAATGAGATTCGGGGTGGATATCAGAAAAAGCTGTCGGGCTGCAGAACAGCTTCCCTAGAGAAGAACTGGGGGCCCCATCACACCTTGACAGGGCCATGGGTCCAGCCAGAGAATCATCCCCAGGGGAAGAGCTGGGGCCCCGTTTCTCCCTGGCACAGGGGTGGATCTGCCTGGGAATGGTCCCAGAGGAAGGGTCAGGCCCTGTCACTCCCCATTAGGGAGATGAATCCAGTTCATGAACTGTCTTCTGTGGCGGGGAGCCCCAACACTGGGGACACTTTAAACTGGGCAAAATACTAATAACTATAGCTAGGGAACAGTCCTGCACTAGCTTCTGGGAGATGGACTGGATGGAGCCAAATCAATCTCTTACATCTCTTACTTCTCCATTAGCCAGGGCTGTATTAAGGCATAAGCACTATGGGCCTGTGTCTAGGGCCCCAACTCCTGGAGTCATATGATTACATCAGTATAGGAGTTACTTTTTTTTTTTTTTTTTTTTTTAAAAAGAGAAGTTCCTTGCCCTTATGGTTGTGAAGAAAAGCTAGAAACTGTGGCCTGAGTGTAACCAATACACTGACTGAGTTTGCAGACAGCCTGAGATAATAGCTCCAAAAGGGAGGAACTGTCCCATGCATCTCAATGGAGTGCTAACTCTGACCCACTGCTTTAAAGGCACAGACAACCCATCCCAGACAAGGGTTTTATATGGCAGAAGGAGAAGAGTATAGCAGACCCAGCCCACATGGGATCATAGAATATCAGGGTTGGAAGGGACCTCAGGAGGTCATCTAGTCCAACCCCCTGCTCAAAGCAGGACCAATCCCCAACTAAATCATCCCAGCCACGGCTTGTCAAGCCTGACCTTAAAAACCTCAAAGGAAGGAGATTCCATCACCTCCCTAGGTAACGCATTCCAATGCTTCACCACACTCCTAGTGACTCATATCAACCCTCCTGTTGACTCATATCCATCTTCTCGTTCACCGTCACCCCTAGGTCCTTTTCTGCAGAACTGCTGCCTAGCCGTTTGGTCCCTAGTCTGTAGCGGTGCATGGGATTCTTCCGTCCTAAGTGCAGGACTCTGCACTTGTCCTTGTTGAACCTCACCAGATTTCTTTTGGCCCAATCCTCTAATTTGTCTAGGACCCTCTGTATCCTATCCCTACCTTCCAGCGTATCTACCACTCCTCCCAGTTTAGTGTCATCTGCAAACTTGCTGAGGGTGCAGTCCAAGCCATCCTCCAGATCATTAAGGAAGATACTGAACAAAACCGGCCCCAGGACCAACACTTGGGGCACTCCGCTTGATGCTGGCTGCCAACTAGACATGGAGCCACTGATCACTACCCGTTGAGCCCGACTATCTAGCCAACTTTCTATCCACCTTATAGTCCATTCATCCAGCCCATACTTCTTTAACTTGCTGGCAAGAATACTGTGGCAGACAGTGTCAAAAGCTTTGCTAAAGTCAAGGAATAACATGTCCACTGCTTTCCCCTCATCCACAGAGCCAGTTATCTCATCATAGAAGGCAAATAGATTAGTCAGGCATGACTTGCTCTTGGTGAATCCATGCTGACTGTTCCTGATCACTTTCCTCTCCTCTAAGTGCTTCAGAATTGATTCCTTGAGGACCTGCTCCATGATTTTTCCAGGGACCGAGGTGAGGCTGACTGGCCTGTAGTTCCCCGGATCCTCCTCCTCCCCTTTTTTAAAGATGGGCACTACATTAGCCTTTTTCCGGCGTCCGGGACCTCCCCCGATCGCCATGAGTTTTCAAAGATAATGGCCAATGGCTCTGCAATCACATCCGCCAACTCCTTTAGCGCTCTCGGATGCAGCGCATCCGGCCCCATGGACTTGTACTTGTCCAGCTTTTCTAAATCGTCCCGAACCACTTCTTTCTCCACAGAGGGCTGGTCACCTCTTCCCCATGCTGTGCTGACCAGTGCAGCATGCTGGGAGCTGACCTTGTTCGTGAAGACAGAGGCAAAAAAAGCATTGGGTACATTAGCTTTTTCCACATCCTCTGTCACTAGGTTGCCTCCCTCATTCAGTAAGGGGCCCACACTTTCCTTGACTTTCTTCTTGTTGCTAACATACCTGAAGAAACCCTTCTTGTTACTCTTAACATCTCCTGGTAGCTGCAACTCCAGGTGTGATTTGGCCTTCCTGATTTCACTCCTGCATGCCTGAGCAATATTTTTATACTCCTCCCTGGTCATTTGTCCAATCTTCCACTTCTTGTAAGCTTCTTTTTTGTGTTTAAGATCAGCAAGGATTTCACTGTTAAGCCAATCTGGTCGCCTGCCATATTTACTATTCTTTCTACACATCAGGATTGTTTGTTCCTGTAACCTCAATAAGGATTCTTTAAAATACAGCCAGCTCTCCTGGACTCCATTCCCCCTCATGTTATTCTCCCAGGGGTTCCTGCCCATCAGTTCCCTGGGGGAGTCAGTGTCTGCTTTTCTGAAGTCCAGAGTCTGTATTCTGCTGCTCTCCTTTCTTCCTTCTGTCAGGATCCTGAACTCGACCACCTCATGGTCACTGCCTCCCAGGTTCCCCTCCTCTTTTGCTTCCCCTACTAATTCTTCCCGGTTTGTGAGCAGCAGGTCAAGAAGAGCTCTGCCCCTACTTGGTTCCTCCAGCACTTGCACCAGGAAATTGTCCCCTACACTTTTCAAAAACTTCTTAGTGTGTCTGTGCACCGCTGTATTGCTCTCCCAGCAGATATCAGGATGATTGAAGTCTCCCATAAAAACCAGGGCCTGCGATCTAGTATCTTCCGTTAGTTGCCGGAAGAAAGCCTCGTCCACCTCCTTCCCCTGGTCTGGTGGTCTATAGCAGACTCCCACCACGACATCACCCTTGTTGCTCACGCTTCTAAACTTAATCCAGAGACACTCAGGTTTTTCTGCAGTTTCATACCAGAGCTCTGAGCAGTCATACTGCTTCCTTACATACAGTGCAACTCCCCCACCTTTTCTGCCCTGCCTGTCCTTCCTGAACAGTTTATATCCATCCATGACAGTACTCCAGTCATGTGAGTTATCCCACCAAGTCTCTGTTATTCCAATCACATCATAATTTCTTGACTGTGCCAGGACTTCCAGTTCTCCCTGCTTGTTTCCCTGGATTCTTGCATTTGTGTATAGGCACTTGAGATAACCCGCTGATCGCCAGCATTCGTTGACTTCCACTATTCGACGGTCTCTACCCAGGCCTTTTCCTTCCATGAAGAGGATGGACGAGAACACCACTTGCGCCTCAGACTCCTTTATTCTTCTTCCCAGAGCCACGTAGTCTGCAGTGATCCACTCAAGGTCATTCTTGGCAGTATCATTGGTGCCCACGTAGAGGAGCAGGAAGGGGTAGCGATCCGAGGGCTTGATGAGTCTCGGCAGTCTCTCCATCACATTGTGATCCTAGCTCCTGGCAAGCAGCAGACTTCTTGGTTTTCCCGGTCGGGGCTGTAGATAGATGACTCAGTCCCCCTGAGGAGGGAGTCCTCGACCACCACAACCCTCACCCAAGCAGAGACAGTCTGGCAGTGGGATAGGTATTGAAGGACAGTGGGGATGGTCACTTGCTGCTATTCCTGTCTTCCTGGGAGAGAGAAGGGGGCCCTTGCTGCTCCCAGAGGGTGAAGGATCCCAGCTGCCATTCCTGGATGGGAAAAATTTCCTGATGTGGCTGCCCCTGAGCTCTCTGGGATGGGATGAGGGCCTCCTGCCACTCCAGGTCGGGTACAGGGCTATATTGTGGGACTAGACCTCTGGAGGGCCCTATATCTTGGTGTGCGTAAGGCTCCAAATTGCTTTAATTCAGTCCCGATGACAGTCTGTGGCCCTGGCACCAAGCGTCCTTTTCACATTCACATTGTGACACAGTTCCTGCCAACTGGTAAGAAACAGATCCCGGACAGCTTCTCCTCTGCTTGCATTCCATACGTTTTGGGTCATCTCTCTTTGCGTAAAGAAACAAGCAACGATGTACAAAAGAAAATTATCAGAACTGCAAAGTCAAGCACCCAAAAGTTAGAAAATGGTAGAATTATGGTGGCCTGTGCATGCTTTAATTGTGGTCCCTTGTTCCTGTGCATTTTGGTGCAGTCCCCTATGTTAGTCACTACATACGTTTCAGCTTCTGCAGCAAATTATCCAACAGACAACAGCCTCATTTACTACACAACAGTGCCTTATTCACCATCCACCCTGGGCACTGAATGATCCAGGGATCCTGGACACATTCAAATCTCAGACACGTATAAAATTCTGCTCACTGAATTTTTCCAGAAACTTTACTTGGCAAACTCAGTATTAAGCCTGGAGCTGGGCATTTCGTATTCTGCCTACTTTACACCACCTAAACCCCTCAGCATTCAGTACGATCTGCACCAGTGTAGTCCCAATAAAGCAGCAGTCATCATCATTCTTTAAGGGCTAAGCCTGCTCTCTGGGGGGCATCTTTATAAAATAGCCATCCTGATTACATGAAGTCTAGTTTCAGTGAAATAAATTGCATGGCTTTTATCTTGACTGTGGCCCCTTATCACTTGCCTCATTGCTGAGTTTGTTTTATTTTTTTAAATCTCTGCAGTCTTCCCTCTCACTACCCAGTGTGACCCATCCTCTCTCCAGCAGAAAGACCTTCCCCACGCCAGTTCCCTTCTGCTGCTGGTCCTTACTCTCAAATGCTTCGTTGAGAGCCAAGAGCAGGGAGGTAGATTATATAAGGAAAATGGGCCACAAGTCAGTCAGTTTCTATCAACTTAGGTCATTGATCTTTAGTGCCCCCGTCTGCCTTCTGCAGCCTTACGGGTTCATAGATACTAAGATCAGAAGGGACCATTATGATCATATAGTCCAACCTCCTGCACAACGCAGGCCACAGAATCTCACCCACCCACTCCTGCGAAAAACCTCTCACCTATGTCTGAGCTATTGAAGTCCTCAAATCGTGATTTAAAGACTTCAAGGAGCAGAGAATCCTCCAGCAAGTGACCTGTGCCCCATGCTACAGAGGAAGGTGAAAAACCTCCAGGGCCTCTTCCAATCTGCCCTGGAGGAAAATTTTTTCCCGAACCCAAATATGGCGATCAGCTAAACCCTGAGCATATGGGCAAGATTCACCAGCCAGATACCCAGGAGAGAATTTTTTGTAGTAACTCAGATCCCACCCCATCTAACAGAAGCCATCTCATTCCCATATAAACTAATATGGAAGTCACTGAGCCGAAGAAGTTAACAGGATTCAAAGAGGGATTTGGACATTTATGTTGATAAGAATATCTAACGTTATAAGAGTTATTGCTAACACAAATTTTAGAAGGGATATTAAGCCTCCTGCTTCAGTGCTAAAACCAACCTCTAACTACTGAAGATCAGGATGAGACCTAATCTGGGGGCAGATTATTCCTCATCTGCTATTGTGAGGTTCTTGTACCTTCCTCTGAAGCATCAGGTACTGGCCACTATCAGGGATGGATCCAGGACCGCATGAGTCTTGGATCTGATTGAGTCTGACAATCCCTACCTTCTGTACCTTCTTTTTCTGTGGATGCCAAGGGGAGCAGCTTCTCTCAGAAATTCTGTTTTAGCATCTTTGCTCGGTCTTCTTCCCAGCTCTCTCAGATCTTTGAGGAGAAAAATGCCCTCTCTATCCAGCTGCGGGGCAGCAGCCAGAATCTCCGTGAGAGCCACCAGCACTGCCGTGAGGTCCTGAACCGCTGCATGGCCCTGGAGAGGCAGCTGCAGGAGCTGCAATCCCCAAACAAGGATATGGTAAGGGGTGGAGTAATGGAGGGAAGGTGGTGTATTCCTTGTGACAGCCTAGGTGAATTGAAGGGCAATTCTCACTGCAGACTTTCTTTGCTGTATGACATGGCAGCTGGTCTGGACTCTGTTCTGTTTGAGACTTTAATCCGGCTCTCCCATTGCTTTACTGATTGCCCTGCCCAGCACTTGATGCCTTGCCGCACATATACTCTGTTTCAGAGGTCACTCGTGACAGATGCTGCTCCAGGAGCCCCTCAGGAAAAGAACGAACTTCAAAGAGAGTGTTACACTCCAGAATTGCAGGAATTACAGCTGAGGTAAGGACAGAGGGAAGGGTGTAAATCCTGACACAGGACCTTGGCTGATGCCCAGTGGGGCAGGGAAAAGTCTGAGTCCTGCTGTAGCACCCTAGAACCTTCTGGAATCTCTGAGGTGCACTCAGTTGTTGTGACTCCCTATTCCTTTAGATGAAACCACAGACACTGACTGCAACATGTAGCAATTGCTGCTGCCCAGTGCGGGTCAGCTTAGCTCCCCATTCACTATGTTGGCTCATCAGTAGATATTGAGTTACATTTATGGTCCTGGTCTCAATCTTCAAGGCTCTCAGTGAGCTGGACCAGGGCTGCCTCTGGGACTGATACCTACTATGATAACTGTGCTCCTTGGGAATAATGGAACTAAAGGTGGGAGTGGGTGATGGAGCCCAGGACTATGGAACTCCTTTTCTGCATTGACCTTCATGGCTTAATGCAAGATTCACCTCCTCATCTCAGCATTCCCACAGTAAGTAAATAAAACCCACCTGTTTGTGGAGACAAGGGAGAGACTCTCCATGTACTAGAGCAGTGAATACAATATAAGCAGAGGTCTCCAGAGAGACATTTTGGGCATTTCAGTGTTCTATTTTCTACCAGGTTATCAGAGGCCAAACATCTGCACAGCAGCACAAAGCAGGACCTGAGGCGTTTGGAAGAGCAGCTGCATGAGGAACGAGACCAGCGTCTTGCTGCAGAGGAGGCTTTCTCAGCAGCACAGGATCAGATCAGGAGGTGGAGTGTTTCTAATCATGCAAGCTGTGTTACCTTAGTGCATCACCAAGTTTCTAGCTGTCTGTCCATCTCTGCTTTTTATAGAATGTCCATCACTGCGAAATCCGGGCTCCACATTGGAAAGGCTGAAAGTTGGTCATGATTTTTCCTTAAAATCCCAGTTTTAAAGGAAGCCTTATGGTCATTCCCAGTCATTTCTGAGCAAGGAAGGTTTCTGTCTGAAATCTAGGACAGTTTTTCCACCTGTGGGTAGGGAATCTCCATTAGTCTGCCCTGGCCACCAGAGCTTTTTGAGCCTTATCTGTATTATGGCAGTGTCCAGATTCCTCGCTCAGGATCAGGCCCATTGTGCTGGGTGCTTCACAGACACTCCACCAGACATGGCTCCTGCCCCAATGAGCTCACAAGTTAATTTGAAATAAGACTCAAACAATGGGAAGTTGGGGTAGGGCTGGAACTAAGGTCATGTCCTTCCACAGGGAGCTGGTAAGTAATTTGGATTCCCGGGGGTACCAGGTTTTTACAAATGAGTTCTCCTCAAGTGATGCCATAATCATGCCTTTACTGACTGAACGATTCCTTGTAGGCATCATGGCCTATTGTTTGTGGTTTCCTATTATCTCATTGTGTGTCCAGAGCACTGGTCAGGGCACTGAAACCTATTAATCATAGAATACTAGACAGGACCTCAGTGGGTCATCTAGTCCAGTTCCCTGCACTCAAGGCATGATTAAGTATTCTCTAGATCATCCCTGACAGGTGTTTGTCTAACCTGCTTTTAAAAATCTCCAATGTCAGAGATTTCGTAACGTCTCTAGGCAATTTATTCCAGTGCTTAACCACCCTGACTCAAAGTTTTCCCTTGCTGCAATTTAAGCCCATTGCTTCTTGTCCTATCCCCAGAGGTTAAGGAGAACAATTTTTCTCCCTCCTCCTTGAAACAACCTTTTATGTACTTGAAAACTGTTATCATGTCCCCTCTGTCTTCTCTTCTCCAGACTAAACAAATCCAGTTTTTTCAATCTTTCCTCATAGGTCGTGTTTTCTAGATCTTTAATCATTTTTGTTGTTGTTCTTTTGACTTTCTCCATTTTGTCCACATCTTTCCTGAAATGTGGTGCCCAGAACTGGACACAATACTCTAGTTGAGGCCTAATCATATAGGCCTTAAACACCAGGCTCTTGAATCACACCCAGAAGTGGCTAGGAAGCCAATGCATGAGCTGGAGTAATGCACTGTTTGTGGCTATCACTGCCCAGCAGGCCAACAGCCGTGTTCTGCACTGGTTCTGGCTTCTAGGTGACCCATGTGAGGAGCTTGCTGCAGAGTGTGTTCTAGCAGTTAATGAATGTTTCTCTGTCTTCTGCAGGTTGGAGTCAAGTGAATGGGCATCTGCTCTGGGTTCCAGCATTGATGTGTCTCCACTCCATGAACACTCCTTGCTGATTGACCCCATGGACAGTTCCTTTAGCAAGGTAAGAATACTACTGCAGTGGCTGTGTCAAGGGAACTACTTTCATAATGTAGGACATGTGAATAACTGCTGCTGCAGAGGAATGTGGCCAGAACATGGGGAATGGAACCATGTTGATTCTAAGCACTGAATATAGTTCATAGCCTCTAGAACCTGCCACTCCCACTGCATGGCTCAAAATATCTCCACACCCTGCATCACTCAGGATCTGCAGCTACATATATGGCTCTTGCAACTGTGACCTTGGGAACTGGTTGGGCTCCTGGAGGCCAAGGTTGCATCAGGGGCTTCTCTCCTCTTGCAGGATCTTGTAATATTTGCCCAAAGTTCTAAATAAAAGAAAGCAGCAGCTGATTGTGCAGAGAGGGCTTATGGTCTCAGTAAAATGTACCTATCCCTATGTCCATAGTCTTATGTACAAAGTGCAATAGTTAGACCCCTCCCCCTCCAAAGGGATGGACCTTACTCTGTGCCCAGAAGGTCAAAAATCTCAGATTATCAGAGTCAAGGGTCACTCAGTGAGAATGACCCGGCGGTTCAGTGTGAGCAAGCGCAATATCATAGAATGGTAGGACTGGAAGTGACCTTGAGAGGTCATCTAGTCCAGTCTCCTGCACTCATGGCAGGACTCAGTATTATATGTTGCCTGATCATGGCTGCAGTGGTAGCTGCAATTTGCCAGGACAGCAACCATATAGGCCTTATACACTGAACCACATCCAGAAGTGTCTAGGAAGCCAGTTCATGAGCTGGAATAATGCACTACTTATGGCTAGCACTGCCCAGCAGGCCAACAGCCATGTTCTGCACTGGCTCTGGCGTCTAGTTGACCCATGTGAGCAGCTTCCTGCAGTGTTTGTTCTAGAGATCACTAAAACAGGTCATTGGGGCACCCGAGATGGTCCTAGTTACCCTGCCGAGCACGTAGGGCCACAATGCCATATAAGAACACAAAAGCATCCCCAAATGGAAATCTCTAGAGACCATCCCGCCATTTTACCAGTCCCCTGTCTTCTCTGGATGGAGTCTCAGCAAGCTCATTCCTATCCAAGCACCTGTATTTGCTTCCCAGCGCCTGGCTAAGATGCAACTGGAGATGCAGAGCTGTATACCAGCTGCATGTTGAGTGCTGGCCTTGCTGAAGCCCAGGCTGTCTCAATATGTGTTGAATGCCCATTGAGAGAGTTCTTGGGCAGAGGAACCCAGTGGTTCCCTCTGGAGAATCCAGGAAGAAAGGTCAAACCCACTGGAGCAACACAGCCCAGCCAGAGTTAGCAGCTGAGTCATCAGAGCTGCTGGCAGTGCTGTGGTGACTGGATGCTGCCTTGTGCTCATAGCTAGGAGAGTGTTATCATCCAGACTCTATTCCAGGCATGGCTAGCCTGAGCCTGAGAAGGAGCCAGAATTTACCATTGTACATTGCCAGAGAACCACAGTAATACATCAGCAGCCCCCATCAGCCACCCCTCGCTACCCCCAGTACCTCCTGCCCGCCGGCAGCCCTGACAATCAGCACCTCCCCTTCCCTCCCCGTGCCTCCTGTCCACTGCGATCAGCTGTTTCACAGTGTACAGGAGACTCTGGAATGGAGGGGGGAGGAGCAAGGGTGCAGCAGGCTCGGGGAGGGGGCAGGAAGGGGCAGGGGCCTTGGGGTAAGGGGTGGAGTGGGGGCGGGCCTGGGGTTGAGCAGTGGAAAGTTGGCACCTATAGCTCCAGCTCTGGAGTCAGCACCTATTCAAGGAGCCGCATATTAACTTCTGAAGAGCCGCGTGTGGCTCTGGAGCCACAGGTTGGCCACCCCGTCACTATTCCATGCTCATTCTCAAGCCTCGCCAATGTGAATCAGGGAACCTGAGGTGCCCAGTGAAGCCAATGCTGTAAGAGCACTGGTGTCTGAGTGCCAATGCTCGTAACAACCCGTTCAGCAGAAGCTGGCATCCTGCCCACAAGCTATGGACAGGTTAATGATCTTAGGCCAGTTCCCTGCTGCCTGGCCAAAGGGGTAGGATGGAGTCCCCAGCACCTCAAGTATTCAGCAGTGCTGTCATCATCACTTATTATCATTTGTTGATCAAGATATATCCGTGATCTATTGACTTCAGCAAAGCTTTTGATTTGGTCTCCCACAGTATTCTTGCCGGCAAGTTTAAAAAAGTATGGATTGGATGAATGGACTCTAAAATGGATAGAAAGCTAGCTAGATTGTGGGGCTCAACGGGTAGTGATCAACAGCTTGATGTCTAGTTGGCAGCCGGTATCAAGCAGAGTACCCAAGGGGTCTGTCCTGGGGCCGGTTTTGTTCGACATCTTCATTAATGATCTGGATGATGGGATGGATTGCACCCTCAGAAAGTTTACAAATGATACTAAGAAAGAAAGAAATCTGAGGTTCAACAAGGATAAGTGCAGAGTTCTGCACTTAGGACAGAAGAATCCCGTGCACTGCTACAGGCTGGGGACCCACTGGTTAAGCGGCAGTTCTGCAGAAAAGGACCTGGGGCTTACAGTGGACGAGAAGCTGGGTATGAGTCAACAGTGTGCCCTTGTTGCCAAGAGAGCTAATGGCATATTGGGCTGCATTAGTGAGAGCATTGTCAGCAGATCGAGGGAAGTGATTATTCCGCTCTATTTGGCACTGGTGAGGCCACATCTGGAGTATTGCGTCCAGTTTTGGGCCCCTCACTTCAGAAAGGGTAAGGAGAAATTGAAGATAGTCCAGCGGGCAACGAAAACGATTCGGGGGCTGGGGCGCATGACTTATGAGGAGAGGCTGAGGGAACTGGGCTTATTTAGTCTGCAGAAGAGAAGAGTGAGGGGGGATTTGACAGCAGCCTTCAACTATGTGAAGGGAGGTTCCAAAGAGGATGGAGCTCAGCTGTTCAGGGGACAATTTCCTGGTGCAAGTGCTAGAGGAGCCAACTAGGGGGGGCGCTTTTCTTGACCTGCTGCTCACAAACCGGGTAGAATTAGTGGGGGAAGCAAAAGTGGACGGGAATCTGGGAGGCAGTGACCATGAGTTGGTTGAGTTCAGGATCCTGACGCAGGGAAGAAAGGTAAGCAGCAGGATACGGACCCTGGACTTCAGGAAAGCAGACTTCGACTCCCTCAGGGAACGGATGGCCAGGATCCCCTGGGGGACTAACTTGAAGGGGAAAGGAGTCCAGGAGAGCTGGCTGTATTTCAAGGAATCCCTGTTGAGGTTACAGGGACAAACCATCCCAATGAGTCGAAAGAATAGTAAATATGGCAGGCGACCAGCTTGGCTTAATGGTGAAATCCTAGCGGATCTTAAACATAAAAAAGAAGCTTACAAGAAGTGGAAGTTTGGACATATGACCAGGGAAGAGTATAAAAATATTGCTCGGGCATGTAGGAATGAAATCAGGAGGGCCAAATCGCACCTGAAGCTGCAGCTAGCGAGAGATGTCAAGAGTAACAAGAAGGGTTTCTTCAGGTATGTTGGCAACAAGAAGAAAGCCAAGGAAAGTGTGGGCCCCTTACTGAATGAGGGAGGCAACCTAGTGACAGAGGATGTGGAAAAAGCTAATGTACTCAATGCTTTTTTTGCCTCTGTTTTCACTAACAAGGTCAGCTCCCAGACTGCTGCGCTGGGCATCGCAAAATGGGGAAGAGATGGCCAGCCCTCTGTGGAGATAGAGGTGATTAGGGACTATTTAGAAAAGCTGGACGTGCACAAGTCCATGGGGCCGGACGAGTTGCATCCAAGAGTGCTGAAGGAATTGGCGGCTGTGATTGCAGAGCCATTGGCCATTATCTTTGAAAACTCGTGGCGAACCGGGGAAGTCCCAGATGACTGGAAAAAGGCTAATGTAGTGCCAATCTTTAAAAAAGGGAAGAAGGAGGATCCTGGGAACTACAGGCCAGTCAGCCTCACCTCAGTCCCTGGAAAAATCATGGAGCAAGTCCTCAAAGAATCAATCCTGAAGCACTTGCATGAGAGGAAAGTGATCAGGAACAGCCAGCATGGATTCACCAAGGGAAGGTCATGCCTGACTAATCTAATCACCTTTTATGATGAGATTACTGGTTCTGTGGATGAAGGGAAAGCAGTGGATGTATTGTTCCTTGACTTTAGCAAAGCTTTTGACACGGTCTCCCACAGTATTCTTGTCAGCAAGTTAAGGAAGTATGGGCTGGATGAATGCACTATAAGGTGGGTAGAAAGCTGGCTAGATTGTCGGGCTCAACGGGTAGTGATCAATGGCTCCATGTCTAGTTGGCAGCCGGTATCAAGTGGAGTGCCCCAAGGGTCGGTCCTGGGGCCGGTTTTGTTCAATATCTTCATAAATGATCTGGAGGATGGTGTGGATTGCACTCTCAGCAAATTTCCAGATGATATTAAACTGGGAGGAGTGGTAGATACGCTGGAGGGGAGGGATAGGATACAGAAGGACCTAGACAAATTGGAGGATTGGGCCAAAAGAAATCTGATGAGGTTCAATAAGGATAAGTGCGGGGTCCTGCACTTAGGACGGAAGAACCCAATGCACAGCTACAGACTAGGGACCGAATGGCTAGGCAGCAGTTCTGCGGAAAAGGACCAAGGGGTGACAGTGGACGAGAAGCTGGATATGAGTCAGCAGTGTGCCCTTGTTGCCAAGAAGGCCAATGGCATTTTGGGATGTATAAGTAGGGGCATAGCGAGCAGATCGAGGGACGTGATCGTTCCCCTCTATTCGACATTGGTGAGGCCTCATCTGGAGTACTGTGTCCAGTGTTGGGCCCCACACTTCAAGAAGGATGTGGATAAATTGGAGAGAGTCCAGCGAAGGGCAACAAAAATGATTAGGGGTCTGGAACACATGAGTTATGAGGAGAGGCTGAGGGAGCTGGGATTGTTTAGCCTGCAGAAGAGAAGAATGAGGGGGGATTTGATAGCTGCTTTCAACTACCTGAAAGGGGGTTCCAAAGAGAATGGCTCTAGACTGTTCTCAATGGCAGCAGATGACAGAACGAGGAGTAATGGTCTCAAGTTGCAGTGGGGGAGGTTTAGATTGGATATTAGGAAAAACTTTTTCACTAGGAGGGTGGTGAAACACTGGAATGCGTTACCTAGGGAGGTGGTAGAATCTCCTTCCTTAGAGGTTTTTAAGGTCAGGCTTGACAAAGCCCTGGCTGGGATGATTTAACTGGGAATTGGTCCTGCTTCGAGCAGGGGGTTGGACTAGATGACCTTCTGGGGTCCCTTCCAACCCTGATATTCTATGATTCTATGTTCTCAGTGGTGGCAAATGACAGAACAAGGAGTAATGGTCTCAAGTTGCAGTGGGGGAGGTCTAGGTTGGATATTAGGAAATACTATTTCACTAGGAGGGTGGTGAAGCACTGGAAGGGGTTACATATGGAGGTGGTGGAATCTCCATCCTTTGAGGTTTTTAAGGTCCAACTTGACAAAGCCCTGGCTGGGATGATTTAGTTGGGGATGGTTCTGCTTTGAGCAGAGGGTTGGACTAGATGACCTCCTGAGGTCTCTTCCAACCCTAATCTTCTGTGATTCTGTGTTTCCTTACACTGCACCTGAAGGGGTTGAAACTTAGACCTGGTCTACAGTACAGAGTTAGGTCAACGTAAGGCAGCTTACACTGACCTAACTCTGTAAGCGCCTACACTAAAATGTAGCTCCCACCGATGTAACTCTCCCACTACACCAACTTAACTCTGCCTCTGTGAGACAAGTAGCGCTTAAATCGATGTAGTTAAGTGTATGCCATATCATTGTAGACACTGCGTTGCTTACATAGACTGTTGCTGCCTTTCAGAAACTGTCGCACAATGCGCCACACTGGCAGTTAAATCAGTGCAAGTGGTCCTGGTGAGGACGCGCACTGCTGACACAAGGAATGTAATGTGGACATATGAAACCAATTCAATTACTGCGGTGGCTGTACATCGGGGTGGGCAAACTTTGTGGACCAAGGGCCACATATGGGTATGGAAATTGTATGGCGGGCCATGAATTCTCACAAAATTGGGGGTTGGGGTGCGGGAGGGGGTGAGAGCTCTGGCTCGGGGTGCGAGCTCTGGGGTAGGGCTGGGGATGAGGGGTTGGGGGTGCAGGAAGGTGTTCAGGGCTGGGACCGAGGGGTTCAGAGGGCGGGAGGGGGATCAGGGCAGGGGGCTGGGGTATGGGAAGGAGTCAGGGGTGCATGCTCCATGCAGCGCTTACCTCAAGCAGCTCCCAGAAGCAGCGGGATATCCCCCTCGAGCTTCTATGCGGAGGCGTGGCCAGGCAGCTCTGCCTGCTGCCCTATTGACAGGTGCCGCCCCTGCAGCTCCCATTGGCCCCGGTTCCTGGCCACGTAGGAGTTGGAGGGGGGACATGCTGATGCTTCCAGGAGCCGCACGGAGCGGGGCAAGCCCCCGACCCTGCTTCCTGGCAGGAGCTCGAGGGCCGAATTAAAACGTCTGGAGGGCCAGATGCAGCCCTTGGGACGTAGTTTGCCCACCCCTGCTATACATTGACATAATTCAGGTCATCTTAATTTTGTAGTGTAGACTTGCCCATAGGCACAGATGTTAGGGAGTGTGTTGTACACTCTGCCACTCAGCCCTTCTTTGAGCAGGCTGTGGGTTTGTGGGGAGTGTGTGTGGGGGGAGGTGTTTGCTAAGCCCCACACCAGCATGAAGAGGAAGGGCTGGTGAGCAGAACAGGAATATGTGGGACACTGTTTCACTCTTGCTTTGCAGTTTCGCCTTTAAGGTCTCCCTTGCAGTGTGATTCCTACCCTGGTGGGATGGTGGAGCTAGAGCAGGGCTTATGAGATGGGAGAGGAGGTGGATTAGGTGGGATAGGAGCCCTTCAGAGTTCTGTGTCGGTGGTGCGGGGGGTGACCCTGCATTTAAATGGCAAATTGACCCTACAGCTCCATAGTCAATCAGGCTCTGAAGCTGGAATCACATGGTTGGAAACCTGTGAACATTGGTTAGACTAGTGCATCCTCCTCGATGATCTCTATGTCTGTGCCTTGTTGGACTGGTCTCCCATGTCCTGTGGGGCTTTGAGTGCAGGTGGCTGGGCTCAGCACTTACTGGCACTAACTGGTTTTTCCTTTTCTCTTCCCCTCAGACTCGGAGCAACTCTGGTTTGTGGCGGCAGCTGCGCTTTCTCTTCTGTTCCAGGACCCGCCTACCACTGCTGGTGACCGTGTATTTGCTCATGCTTCACATCCTACTCTTCCTGTGCTTTACAGGCCACCTGTGAGCAGGGCCAACAGTCTCTCCCTGAGCATCAGACCTTTACCCCATGCCTGTGCCAGACAGGTTTTTGGGCCAGCAGTCACCAGTGCCCCGCACCAGCTGGCCACCCACCTAGCTAGCTCTGTGGGGCAACTGAGCCCAGCAGTCTCCAGCACTCACCCCTGAGCTGCTTGCTCTGGCCCAACTGGGTGGCTGCTGTGGCTGAAGGTCGGAGTCTGTCTGTTTCCAGAAGACAGCCTTTCACACACACCCTCACGAAGTGTTACCAGGTCATCTTTTCTGAGCCAGGCTCCTCAGGCTGGGAATGAGTGAAGACGGTGTAATCTGCAGCTTCCACCTGCAGACGGCTCCACTCCAGCTGTTAATCATTTGTGATGGGGGTTGCAGAGAAAATGCTGTCATGTACTGCAGCTCCCAGTGCCTTCAGAAGGTTCGCTGGCACCACTGCATCTTGTCATGCTTACACTCATGCCGGTATCAATGGTTGTACCAGCCTAGAAAGTGGCATTGGCCACCTGCCCCTCAGTCCACAGGTCATTGGCTTTGCAGGTGATGGCTCACCCTACCCATCTGCAGTGTTCCTTCCCTTTCACAGATAGTACTATCGTATTGCGGAGATTGCACCAGTCCATGAGCAAGGGAGGGAAGCTCCCGCCCCGCTGATCCCCCAGATCTTAAACCCAGCCACTTGGGCCCTTCTAGTGATGATTAAAAACAAGAAAGGGAAGTTGTGGAGTTTTTACGGGATACTATATAAAACCAATCAGGGTCTGTTTTATAACTTTTTTCAGTGGGGCTAATTTTTGGGTTTCAGCTCAGTAGAGTTCCCTGCAGGAGAAGGGCAATCACTGCAGCATGCAGACATGCTGAGCCTTACATCTAAGGGCTTTTGTAAGTATTTGCTGTTATGCCCCTGCAGGAGAAGGGCAGTAATTTAATTATTGAAAGCGAATAGGGGACTTGACCTTTTATCTCTAATTTAATCATTGCACTAATTATAAAGCTTGTGCAGTTCTTGCTGCGGATAGGGGAGAGGAGAAGAGAAGTCCTGCACCCTGTTTCCTTTGAAAAGACTAAACCTGGATAATTTGTGCTACAGGGTATAGCTCCAAGCGGTCTGGGCTCTCCATGGATTACAAGAACCCCACAGACAAACCCCTCCCTGTTGTAAGGGGAAGATTCCTAAGGCCTCTGCCCCACCCCCACTTCATGAGACTTCTTTCTGGAGAAGCCTGTGACTGGTGTTGCTGGGGTGGCTGCATGTACCCTATGCCATACACTCTAAATGCAGTTGGGCCTGTTCCCACTGATTGTGTAGATGGCAGAGTTCAGAGCTCTCTACGGAGCGTCTGAACATGCTCCATACAGAGAATGAGATACTAATGTACCTGGAGATGAGGATTCTGAACACAGTGGTGACTGCTCCAGTTGAGAAAGGAGGGTGGAACCTATCAGATAAGCCTTCACTTAGAGCTGCCATCTACTTTGTAAGGTGTGCCTCTCCCTTCCTCGTTTTAGAATGCCCTCCCCCCACACACCGTTTAATGGAGGAAAGTTAATTCTCCTGACGCTGTTCTTAGTCCAGGTCTCCAGGGTCGCTGAACTGAGCCTGTGAAGAGACAGGGACTGGTTCCTTTGCTGTCCCTAAAGCAACTGGACCTCTGGCTAGGTCCAGAACACTGAAGCCATATATCTGTGCTCCCCCATGAGTATTTATAGAGAGCGTGCCCTGCAGGATTCCCCCCTTGATTCTTTGAAATCCAGTGACTGAACCTCTCTCGTATAGCTTCCTGGGGCACATGCTCCTGTGTACAATAAAGATTATTTTTCAGAGTGAAGCCGAGTGGTGTTTTGGTGTGTGTCGCTATAGGAACTGACCTCTGAGGTTCCAGAGCTGCAGGCCGTGAGCATGATCTACTGTGGGAGCAACACAAGACAGTGGCCGCTCTCATTATGCTTTATCCCTGGTTCAATGGGAATTCCCTTTCTGTTTCCTCATATTGATGAGTGTCCCATGGAGATTGCAGTAGCCTCCTCCTCACCTCTCTCAGATGCACAGATCCTACAGTGGCTGTGGGGGACAGGAGTTATAATTTTGAGAACAGTTCTGGTGAGGTTTAGCACCGGCCTGCTGCCTTTACTGTTTCTTGCTATCTGAGTTTAGGCAGAATTATGCAGCCCCATGGGCATATGCAGTTTCAAGACCTGGTGGATTACATGGTAGCCACCTTGACTCTCCTGATGGTACCAGCGGAAGAGAATTCCCACCCAGTATTTGACATAATCGGTGCCACTGCCAAGAGTAAAATATCACTTCCTGTCCTGGATGGGTTGTTGCAACTCGCCAATCTGTGTGGTCCAATGCCACTTGTGAACCCATCTCCAAGAAGGCTGACATGCTCTACCAGCTACCCTCTGAAGGGCTCTCATACTTTCATGCCCACTCTGTGCCCAACTCAATGGTAGTGGCTGCTGCCAGCAACAGAGCAAGGTCACGCCAATCACACTCCATGATAAGTGATGAAGATGGAAAGAATCATAGAATATCAGGGTTGGAAGGGACCTCAGGAGGTCATCTAGTCCAACCCCCTGCTCAAAGCAGGACCAATCCCCAACTAAATCATCCCAGCCAGGGCTTTGTCAAGCCTGACCTTAAAAACTTCTAAGGAAGGAGATTCCACCACCTCCCTAGGTAACACATTCCAGTGCTTCACCACCCTCCTAGTGAAAAAGTTTTTCCTAATATCCAACCTAAATCTCCCCCACTGCAACTTGAGACCATTACTCCTTGTTCTGTCATCTGCTACCACTGAGAACAGTCTAGAGCCATCCTCTTTGGAACCCCCTTTCAGGTAGTTGAAAGCAGCTATCAAATCCCACCTCATTCTTCTCTTCCGTAGGGTAAACATCCCCAGTTCCCTCAGCCTCTCCTCATAAGTCATGTGTTCCAGTCCCCTAATCATTTTTGTTGCCCTCCGCTGGACTCTTTCCAATTTTTCCACATCCTTCTTGTAGTGTGGGGCCTAAAACTGGACACGGTACTCCAGATGAGGCCTCATCAATCTGGAATAGAGGGGAACGATCACATCCCTCGATCTGCTGGCAATGCCCCTATGTATACATCCCAAAATGCCATTGGCCTTCTTGGCAACAAGGGCACACTGACTCATATCCAGCTTCTCGTCCACTGTAACCCCTAGGTCCTTTTCTGCAGAACTGCTACCTAGCCATTTGGTCCCTAGTCTGTAGTGGTGCATGGGATTCTTCCATCCTAAGTGCAGGACTCTGTACTTGTCCTTGTTGAACCTCATCAGATTTCTTTTGGCCCAATCCTCCAATTTGTCTAGGTCCCTCTCTATCCTATCCCTACCTTTCGGCGTATCTACCTCTCCTCCCAGTTTAGTGTCATCTGCAAACTTGCTGAGAGTGCAATCCACACCATCCTCCACATCATTTATGAAGATATTGAACAAAACCGGCCCCAGAACCGACACTTGGGGCACTCCGCTTGATGCTGGCTGCCAACTAGACATGGAGCCATTGATCACTACCCTTTGAGCCAGACAATCTAGCCAGCTCTTTATCCACCTTATAGTCCATTCATCCAGCCCATACTTCTTTAACTTGCTGGCAAGAATACTGTGGGAGACCGTGTCAAAAGCTTTGCTAAAGTCAAGGAACAACGCGTCCACCGCTTTCCCCTCATCCACAGAGCCAGTTATCTCATCATAGAAGGCAATTAGATTAGTCAGGCATGACTTGCCCTTGGTGAATCCATGCTGACTGTTCCTGATCACTTTCCTCTCCTCTAAGTGCTTCAGAATTGATTCCTTGAGGACCTGCTCCATGATTTTTCCAGGGACTGAGGTGAGGCTGACTGGCCTGTAGTTCCCAGCATCCTCCTTCTTCCCTTTTTTAAAGATGGGCACTACATTAACCTTTTTCCAGTCGTCCGGGACTTCCCCCGATTGCCATGAGTTTTCAAAGATAATGGCCAATGGCTCTGCAATCACATCCGCCAACTCCTTTAGCACTCTCAGATGCAACGCATCAGGCCCCATGGACTTGTGCACGTGCAGCTTTTCTAAATAGACTTGAACCACTTCTTTCTCCACAGAGGGCTGGTCACCTCCTCCCCATGCTGTGCTGCCCAGTGAAGTAGTCTGGGAGCTGACCTTGTTCGTGAAGACAGAGGCAAAAAAAGCCTGAGTATATTAGCTTTTTCTACATCCTCTGTCACTAGGTTGCTTCCCTCATTCACTTTCCTTGACTTTCTTCTTGTTGCTAACATACCTGAAGAGACCCTTCTTGTTACTTTTAACATCTCTTGCTAGCTGCAACTCCAGGTGTGATTTGGCCTTCCTGATTTCACTCCTGAATGCTCGAGCAATATTTTTATACTCTTCCCTGGTCATTTGTCCAATCTTCCACTTCTTGTAAGCTTCTTTTTTGTATTTAGGATCAGCAAGGATTTCACTGTTAAGCCAAGCTGGTCGCCTGCCATATTTACTATTCTTTCTACACATTGGGATGGTTTGTCCCTGTAACCTCAATAAGGATTCTGTAAAATACAGCCAGCTCTCCTGGACTCCTTTCCCCCTCATGTTATTCTCCCAGGGGATCTTGCCCATCAGTTCCCTGTGGGAGTCAAAGTCTGCTTTTCTGAAGTCCAGGGTCCGTATTCTGCTGCTTTCCTTTCTTCCTTGTGTTAGGATCCTGAACTCAACCATCTCATGGTCACTCCCAGGTTCTCCTCCACTTTTGCTTCCCCTCCTAGTTCTTCCGGGTTCGTGAGCAGCAGGTTAAGAAGAGCTCTGCCCCTAGTTGGGTCCTCCAGCACTTGCACCAGGAAATTTTCCAAAAACTTCCTGGATTGTCTGTGCACTGCTGTATTGCTCTCCCAGCAGATATCAGGGTGATTGAAGTCTCCCATGAGAACCAGGGTCTGCGATCTAGTAACTTCTGCGAGTTGCTGGAAGAAAGCCTCGTCCACCTCATCCCCCTGGTCCGGTGGTCTATAGTAGACTCCCATCCTTGTTGCTCACACTTCTAAACTTAATCTCAGGTTTTTCTGCAGTTTCATACTTGAGCTCTGAGCAGTCATACTGCTCTCTTACTTACAGTGCAACTCCCCCACCTTTTCTGCCCTGCCTGTCCTTCCTGAACAGCTTATATCCATCCATGACAGTACTCCAGTCATGTGAGTTATCCCACCAAGTCTCTGTTATTCCAATCACATCATAATTCCTTGACTGTGCCAGGACTTCCAGTTCCCTGCTTGTTTCCCAGGCTTCGTGCATTTGTGTATAGGCACTTGAGATAACCCGCTGATCGCCCCTCTTTCTCAGTATGAGGCAGGAGCCCTCCCCTCTCACGCGCTCCTGCTCGTGCTTCCTCCCGGTATCCCACTTCCCCACTTACCTGAGGGCTTTGGTCTCCTTCCCCCGGTGAACCTAGTTTAAAGCCCTCCTCACTAGGTTAGCCAGCCTGCTCGCAAAGATGCTCTTCCCTCCCTTCGTAAGCTGGAGCCCGTCTCTGCCCAGCACTCCTCCTTCCTAGAACACCATCCCATGGTCAAAGAATCCAAAGCCATTCGTTGACTTCCACGATTCGACGGTCCCTGTCCCGGCCTTTTCCTTCCACGGGGAGGATGGACGAGAACACCACTTGAGTCTCAAACTCCTTTATCCTTCTTCCCAGAGCTACGTAGTCTGCAGTGATCTGCTCAAGGTCATTCTTGGCAGTATCATTGGTGCCCACGTGGAGAAGCAGGAAGGGGTAGCGATCCGAGGGCTTGATGAGTCTCGGCAGTCTCTCCATCACATTGCGAATCTTAGCTCCTGGCAAGCAGCAGACTTCTTGGTTTTCCCGGTCGGGGCGGCAGATATATGACTCAGTTCCCCTGAGGAGAGAGTCCCCAAGCACCACCACCCGCCTCCTTCTCTTGGGAGCGGTGGTCGTGGAACCCCCAACCCTAGGACAGCGCATCTCATGCTTTCCAATTGGCAGAGTCTCCTTCTGCTCCCTTCCCTCAGACGTATCATCTGGTCCACTCTCCGCATTAGTACCTGTGGAGAGAACCTGAAAACGGTTATTACCTATATCGGCATTGCTGGTACATGGACGTTCCCCTTTTTTCTTCTGGAGGTCACATGATGCCAAATTTCTTCACCGTCCTCCTGTCCCCGATGTGCAGCCTGCTCTGAATCTTCAGAACCTTGTGCCTGTAGAAGCATATCCTGACGTCTGTCCAGGAAATCTTCAGTTTCTCTTATGCAACGCAGGGTCGATACCTGTTGCTCCAGACCTTGAACCTTCTCTTCCAATATGGAGACCAGCTTGCACTTTGCACAGACAAAGTCGCTTCTGTCCTGTGGAAGAAAGACAAACATAGCACATCCAGTGCAGGTCACAACAACTGAACACCCCCCGTCCATATCAAGATGTAAGTCTCAGTGGGCTCTCCCCAGGCAGATCCCAGGCAAACTCCTTCTGTTAGCTGCTGTGCTGTTCACTGCTCAGCTGGTTCGCAGCTGACTGGCTTTTTATACAGTCAGGCCCACTTACAGCTCACCTGGAACAAAGCACTCCCAGTTCCCGCCCTTTTCAAACAACCAATCAAGCACACAGTCAAACTGTCCTCACAACAAACACTCAGATACAGGTTTCAGAGTAACAGCCGTGTTAGTCTGTATTTGCAAAAAGAAAAGGAGTACTTGTGGCACCTTAGAGACTAACCAATTTATTTCAGCATGAGCTTTCGTGAGCTACAGCTCACTTCATCGGATGCATACCGTGGAAACTGCAGCAGACTTTATATACACATAGAGATCATGAA